CAATCCATAAGATCAACAAACATAGTTTAAATTGTTAACATTTATCTCCATGTTAAATATCTCATAATTTTCTTGAACATTTTAATCAAAAACTAGGGCTGGATATGGTTCGATTCGATTCCCTTAAGAACAAAATCAGACCCGACCTAAAATTTTTGGGTACTTAGTAATTGGAACTGTCGGGTCCAAATTTAATTATGAAACCGTTCAAGTTCAGTTCCATTTGGTTCGGTTCGATTCCGTACGAAGAAACTCTATAGAAAAAATTGAAAAAACACAATTAACACATATAAATGAACTAAAAATTGTTCAACTAATAAAATTTAATAAGAAAAATAAAACATATATTTTATTACCTGTCTCAATGCCCTCATAAAACTCTGTCTTTTTAATGCAAACTCTATTTTCGAAAACTTTCAAAAGCCTAAATTCTTCCATTAGCCAGTTTCGTATACAAATCAAGGCCTCTACTGTTTTAAGAGTTAAATAACTCCTAAATGGATCAAGAATGCGCCCTCCAATACTAAATGTCGGATCAGAAGCCACAGTAGATACAGGAATGGCAAGAACATCCATTGCAACCTTAAATAAAAATTCTAACATTGAACTGTTTATCTTCTACCATTTAAAAATGTTAAAGTTTTCATCATTAGCGTCTTAGTAGGTTCCATTAGATATCGTTGTACCTCATCTTTTCCAGAAAAATCCCTTTTGCTAATTTTCATTTTCTTGTACCCAAAATCAAAATTACAATCATGCCAACCATCATCATCATCTGAACTCTCCAACAAAGTGACTCTATCATTATATTCATTGCCACCACTTCCACTTCCACTAGCTACATTCTTTGAACGATGACATCCCTCATACTGATTATATAAAGCATACAATGTTTTCATGACTTTAGTTTTTGTGACTTCAACCTTAATGGAGTCATGCAAGATACTAATACAATGTACAACAAACTCCAACTTATACCTAGGATCAAGCACAATTGCTACAATCTTGTTCATTTTATCAACATTACCCCGATACTTGTCAAACTTAATCTTCATGTTATTTGCTAGGTTACTTAGCAAATAGTCTTGCTTGTCACCCATTTTTTTTTTTTTTTGGTCAAAATTTGCTCAATTTTACAAACTTCTTGGAAGTTAATATTGGAAGTAACACTCAATAAAGCACTAAACTTTAATGTGACATCATAAAAGGTTCTTAGAAACTTGGAAAATTTTCTAGCTTTCTCCCAATCATAACTTGTAGGTGGCCCCTCTTTTTCTTTTCCACCTTCATTCTCGTCAAAATATTTATAATAAAATTCATCCTCTTCCTCCATTTATAAAAAGCTTTTTCAAAATTCAATGCACTATTGAACATTAAGAATGTTGAATTATATCTAGTAGAAACATTTAAAACAGCAAGTTTTTTGCATGCAATCTTTTTCCTTTCAATACATCACTTAAATTTCATCAACCGGGAAGGAGATGATCGAAAATATTTGATCGCATAGCGACTACTTTCTATAGATGGATTAAACTCTTTCAACCCTTCTTCAACAATCAAATTGAGTATGTATGCTGAACAACGTATATGTAAATAAGAGCTACCTAAAATCATAGTATCATCAAGTTTCCAATTCTTCAACTTGTTTTTTAAATGATCACTGTATCAATTTTGCTTGCATTGTCTACAGTAATGGTATCCACACGCTCTATTCCCCAATTAAGCAAACAATTTTCAATAAGCTTCCTAATTGTCTCCCCTTTGTGACTTGGAACAACTAAAAAAGTCAATATCCTCTTATGCAGTTTTCAACTTCTATCAATAAGATGTGCTATGACTACCATAGAATTGATGTCCAACATTTAGTGGTTAGCGAGATCCTTTGCCTATCATTAATAAATTTAATCCTCAATAATTCATTTGTCTCATGGTAGAGATGTAGCACATCTTTAGCAATCATTCTTCGACAAGGAACCTCAAATCTAGGACAAAGTTGATGAACAAATTCCTTAAAACCCACATCTTCCACAAAAAAAAAAAAAAGTCAATTCATCAATAATAATCATCTTAACCAATTTTTTTCTACATTTTTCATTATTAAACACCATAGCCATAATACCCCCATCATTATTTTCTCGAGTGAGTGTTGTTGGTTGTCATCAACCCTGGTGCTCTTATATGCATAACAAATTTTTAAATGTTTCCACATGCTAGAAGTTTCATTATTAGTATCAGCCTTAAAAGTTCTCCAACAATAATTACATTTTGCTCTTTCTCGATCAAGTATCCTAGTGAAATGATTCCATATTTCCGACCTCTCATTAGGTTGTTTTTGGTCTCCCATTTGAGCATCCAAAACTGGTATCACTTTAATGAGAAACTTGATTAAATCCTGCACAAACAATATGGAAAAAAAAAATCATCAAATGGCAGAGTCAAATTGTATAACTTTATCACTCCAGAATCTCCCTCACCTTTAGCAAGTTTGTGAATTACTATGAATTTTTGGTTCAAAATAATTAACTTAATCATGTTATAACTTTATCACTCCTGAAAGTTGTCCCTTTTATTACCTTTCTTGATTCTTGAAAAGTGAATACTCGTTTCATACAACATAATAAAAAAAAACCAAGATAAAAATCAATTAATACTTAACCTCGAAATTCAGAAACCCGTTGATTAACCTCGAAATTCAGAAACCCGTTGAATCTACAAAAAGATTATAAAAAATTGTGAAAGGTTCCAACATGTAATAGATGAAGAATTTACATCATATGCACATGTTTACGAGAATTTGCTAACCGATAGGAGGCAGTCATGAATCTTCCTACAATAATGCTATCTTGTTGCACATGTAAGACTAAACCACCGATTTCTCATTATTTATCTGAACTCTTCTATCATCTTAAAAGACGACTCTTTATTTGCCTGCCTGGAAAAAGAAAAGAAATGTAGTCAATAATTCGCTTCTGCTGCTCTTCTCTAAAGACAACATTGTAATAAAACTTTAAAATTTTATCAAAAAATTAAAAAGGGAAAAAGATAATGAAACCAGATATTAAATTAAGGATTTACTGGAACGAACAACTGTATAAACCCTGGTGAATATAGGGAAGAATACTTCCTACCTTGTTCGAATGGTCTATGGTCGGAGGTTTTAGCTTCGATGAGCTTTCGGAGTTCACCGCTTCGACGGGGGCCGAACGGGGCGGCTTCGATTTTGGCCTGTGGATGTATAGGTTTTCAATTTCATATGAACTATGTAGTTTATTTAGGGTTGGATACTTGGATTTAGTGGGTTAGACATTAGAGATTTAGAGTTGGGCCAAAAATAGAAGAATAAAATAGGCTTGAATGCTTGATGTTGGGCTAAAAAAAAAAAAAAAAATTAAAAATGAAACAAAAAATTGGGCCAAAAAATTAGATTTAGAAAAAATTAAAATAATTTGATTTATTCAATATAAAAAAATTAAAAAATTAGGAAAATTCAATTTTTCGGTTCTTGGTCTAGAATCAAGAATCGAACCATACCCCTCGATTCTCGATTCGGATACCCCGTACCCGTTCAGTTATTTAACTTAAGAAGAACCGTCGGGTTCGATTCGATCGGTTTGATTTGAAAATTTTGTCCAACTCTATCAAAAACTACAAATGGGATTTTGCGTTAAGATAAAATAATTAATCATCACTTACAAAGTGCCAAAAAGAGAAATAATTATTGCCGTTGAAATAATCACAATCAATCTATATGTAATAACGGTTGTTGATCCTGTTTGAGCCTTCTTTCTTTTTTTTTTTTTTCTTTTTTTTTTGCCTTTTTTTTTTTTTTTTTTTTTCTTTTTTTTTTTTTCCCAAAAATGCATTTTAAGCCCTTATTTGAACCCATTCTTTTCAAAAGAATAAATTTTTGAATAGTATATTAATGTGAAATGTATGATTAAAAGATAAGAAAAAAGTTTAGATTTACGTGTAATATTATTTTATTGAATAATGTGTGATTAAAATGATATCAAAACACTATTTAAAAATATATATATATTTTTTCAAAGAATTAGGCTCAAATAGGGGCTAGAACAGTGATTTGATGGAGATTGTGTTGTTCAAAAATAAGGAAAAAAATTTAGATTTACACATAATATTATTTATTAAAAAATTGTGATTCAAAATTTATAAAAAAAATGTATTTTAAAAATAATGAACACCAAACAAGGGCTTAATTCCAAAGCATGAATAATGAGTTTACAGCACAAAATTATAAAATTAAGGGGCTTCAAAAATTCCTCTTTCACAAACAAAGATAGCATGCGAAAAGAAATCCAGCTCTTAGGGCATCTCCAACCATGACATCATTGCACCATTTTTTGGTGCAAAGTTGCTCCAATCCAACGCCAAACTTTGCACCAAAGTGTAAAATGTCCCTTTTATCCTTATTTAACATTTTTCAAATAAATTTTTTGAAGGTATTTATGTCATTTGTGCTATATATTTTTTAATATAATAAAATATTATTATTTTTTTTTATTTAAAATAAATTTTAAATATAAGACATAATAATTAATAAATTAATTAAAAAATGAAAACAATTTAAAATACATCAAACATGATTATTTATTAAAGTTAACACGAAATAAATTAAATAGCGACATACATACGATAATCTAAATTTATTTTTAAAAAAAGGATACATAAAAAAGTGCATAGTTTAATAATCTGGAAGATCACTTCTAGATCCTCCAATATCGCTAAAATAATTTCCAAACAAAACGAGTATTAGATGATATCATGACTACATGCATAATAATGCATAACATGATTATCGATGACGAACGTAACATTGATGCACTAGTTCAAGAATGGACGGAAGCGTCAAGGCCAGAAGTTGAGTTTGTTGAAGACGAGAATCGACATTTTCAGGAATTCAAAGAAACTCACATTGCATTTCAAAATACATTAATTGATTATTTGTGAGATGAACATATAAATTTTGAAAATTAAATTACAAAAATTTAGCGACTTCGTAATATCGTCTATCCAAATTCGAAATACATTGTACTATTTTTGATGGCATGATTTCATATTTTCGTTGTTGTAGTATTTTTATTAATTGTTCTATATTTTTTATATTTATTAATGAATTTAATCTTTTTCATAATTTAATGTAATTATTTATTTAGTAATTTATGTATTTATGAAATAATTAAATAAATAATATTTCAAATAAGTAAATTATAAATAATAAAAAAAGGAAAGAAAATGGTTAAACACTGTTCATTTGATATAATTTTTGTTTAGTGGTTGGAGATGGATTTTAATTTGGTACAAAATTTGATATAAAATTTGGTACAGGATTGGAGATGGCCTTATCACCCGCATGAAAAATATTATTCACCAACAACCACTGGCATGGCAACTATCACGAAAATATCAGTTAACAATTAAAAAATTAATAGTTTTGCTTCATTCACAGTTCTTAAGTTGGTTGATATTGTTTAGTGTAGCAGGCATAATGATAATTGATTTTAACAACACTTAGGGTCCGTTTGATTGCAAAAATGAAATTTAATTGAATTAAAAACGAATTTCAGGGAATTGAATTCCTTAAAAATTATTTTCCTGGAAATTGTAAATTATTGTGTTTGATTAGTATAATTTTTCACGGGGAAAATGTTGGAATAAAATGTTTTTTAATATTCGTTTGACTTTGTTATACATGAAAATTGTCAATTAAATTGATGGAATTTACTGGTATTGAAAATGAAATTTGTTTCCATTGCCAAAACAAATAAAAAATAAAAAATTCAAGAAACTCAGCTATCTTTGAGTGTTCGTTTGGTTTTATTTTAAATGAAAATTGTCAATTAAAGGGAAATATTTTTTTACAATAATTTTTAGAATTTGTTTCCATTATAAAATAATAATAATAATGAAAAAAACAAAAAATTGCTACAGTACCCGAAAAAACCAATTCCCACCTTCCAATGAAAAGATGGAAAACCAGACTTTTCAAGACAATCAAGAATTGAAATTCCATGGAAATAATTGTGCTACCAAACAACAAAAAAATGGAAAAAGATGGAATTGGAATTTCATTTCCATGTAATTTCATGCTATCAAATACCACCTTAATTTAAATCTCTGAACAGATTTCTTACGCATAGGAAGATGTCAAATTTAATGTACAAAAATAATATAAAAGTAGATTAATTCAAAAATTAATTACACCCTGTAAGAGCATATCCAAGAGACCCTTTATTTTTAAAGAATATATTCTATCATTTAGAGAGTCTATAAATTTAAAGAGTAAAAATTTTGAAACACTCCAACAAGCTCTTTATATTTAATTCTTAATTTTACTATTCCCAAAAAATATTTATTTTCTTCTCCATCTTTTATTTTGACTAACTTTTTTTTCTAGATTATTATATTATTTTCATATATTGAAAATTGAAATATTTTGATTGTATTTAGTTATGTAGTGTGAATTTGGCGCTCTAAATTAGAATGTTAATTTAAAGAGTCTTTTGAAACATGATTTTAAAGGTTGACTCTTTAAAGTAAATAGTATCTCATGTTTAAATAATCTCCCAAAAATATTCTAAAGGCTCTATATCTTGCTTTTATACAAAACTTGCCGATTGGCAGTCATAGCTTCAAAAGTCTTGCCATCTTGGTTTCAACTTTCGACTCCAAATGACTGGTCTTGGCAAATGATCGTCGTGACTTTCTTTAAAAATCTGAAGATAGCACCAGCACATCAGAGGTGAATCTCGCCTTCTTCTTTCTCCAAAATCATGTGATAACAATTACATTATAAACTTTCTTTAAATTAATTCTTGAATTGTTCAAAGTTGTATTTAACGAACTATATTATCATAATTAAATGAGTCTCACCTCACAAAATATCATTTTACAATCGAGTGACTTGAAATATCAAGGGAGAGGTCCAATTATTAATAAATTAACTTACGCTCAATTTCATTGGCATCATCATTTTTAAAAGGATATTAAAAAAAATCAAGTACATATCATTAAAGACGTTCTTTTGTTAAAGAAAAAAGGTAAGAGGTCAATTTATCACAAGCATTTGCTTGAGCCTCATTTTGGAAAAAATGTGTGTTTTAAAAATGGAAAAAAGATTGAACGTACGTGAAAAATTATTTTGTGTAAGAATGTACAGTTGAAAATATGTTTTGAAAAAAAATAAATTTTAGAAACATCCACGAAGCAATTCAGTTTGAGTGGACCAAACCTCAGTCACCTGTTAATTTATCTAGGGCTAAACAAAACTCTCGAATCAAACCGATCAAATCGAATCCAAACTAAATCTAACCAAACTGACGGTTCTTCTTAAGTTAAATATTAAAAATGAGTATCTGAATCTAGAATCCATGTATTTGGTACGGTCCCCTCGATTCTAAATCAAGAACCGAATAAACAAATAAGAATCAAATCTCCCTAATTTTTTTAATTAATTTATTTTAAATAAGTCAAACTATTTCTAAATAAATTAATTAACTAGTTAATTTAGTTCAAACAAAAAAAAAATATGATTTTCCTATTTCTAATTTTCAGTTCAAAGCCAACTTAATCAAATTGATCTAAATTTTATCCAAATCTGTTATTTTACCGTAATGTTGTTTCTATAGTTCTAAAAAAATCGAATTGAAACTCAACAACGCTCCTCTTAATTATATTGAGTTCGCTATCTTCTTCGTCATGTGACTTTAGCAATCAAATTTAAAAAAAAAACACACATAAAATTAGACTACGTTATTGTGTAAGAGCTAAAATTATACATATCATTAGTTCGATGTAATTTTGCAAATATCAAAAAATTTAGTTATAATACGGAACTTGAAAAACGAATGAAATCGAATCGAATCGAACTCGAACAATTTCATAATTAAATTTGGACCTGACGATTTCACTTACTAAATACCCGAAAATTTCGAGGATCGAATTGAACCATGTCAAGCCCTAATTTTATCCAAATCAAAATCGATAATTAATTAGTTCAAATTAAAAATGTTACCTTATTATCAATTAATAATTCCAAATATTCTGGGAGCATATACTAGACAAAAATAAAATGAATGAAAGAATCAGGAAGCTTCAATAAAAAAAAATATACATATATTTTTTATAAATTAGAAAGTCCAACGAAAACCATTAAGTACCATTCTCGTCGAAGCATACCACACCATCTAAAATAAATAAAGAAGGGGAAAAACCAGATCTGAAAATACACACTAACAGAAACTAATCTCGCCGGTC